TACACAGGTCTTCTTCAGCCACCTTATATGCTGTATCTCACTTCTTTCTAGTCCTCTCTTTCTACCTATTCCCTCTTTGAGTAGCACCAGACAGACAGGCCTGCAGAAGTTGGATGGTCATCACCCAACTTTCAATGTCTAAGGTTTCTTTATTTCAAATAACTTTAAACTAGCTGTTTTAGATTTTAAAAAGGTGTGACAGAGAAGTGAAATCCCACATATTACACACACACACACACAGGAATATTACTCAATCATAAAAAGGATGAGAACTTGCCATTTGTGACAACACAGATGAACCTAGAGACTAAATTATGCTAAGTGAAGTAATAAGTCAGGCAAAGACAAATACTCTAAGATTTCACTTACATGTGGAATCTAAAAAAAAAAACCAAAAAAACAAAAAAAAGTAGCAACAGACCCATAAATACAGAGAACAAACTGATGGTTGCTAGAGGAAAGAGGAGTGAGGGAGGACAGGCAAAATGGGTGAAGGAGACTGGGAGACACAGACTTCCAGTTATGGAGTGGATAAGTCACGGGGATGAAAGGCACAGTTTAGGGAATCCAGTCAATGGTAATGTAACAGCACAGTATGGGGACAGATGGTAGCTACCCTTGTGGTGACCATAGCATAACATACAGACTTGTTCAGTCACTGTGTTGTACACCTGAAACTAACATAATTATGTGTCAACTATATTTCTGTTTTTAAAAAATGGTCTCTAATTGTGAGACTTTGGTCAATCCTCTGGCACATCAATCTCTTCATCTTTGAAAAAATGGTTAACTACTCTGTGATTGTTGTGACAACTGAGAAAATACATGGCCGCTGATATACAGTAGGTGCTTGACACAGTTGCTATTATCCCCTCAAATTTTATTTGCAAATAAACGAACAGGATATTCCCCGAGGTCTGACTTTTCATCTTCAGGCACTGGCCTAGACTGTGATTAGGTCCTTAGTTCTAAGTCCATGAATGATCTGCTATTCTCACAACTCCTTCATACTGCAAGATCTACGTTCATGGATGCATGAAGTTCCAATGCAGTTCAGATACAGAGATACACTTTCTCACTGTATATGAGGTCTCCTCAGTATAAATGGGTGTCATAATTAAAAATTATAGATGCCTAGGGGTGCCTGGCTGGCCCAGTCAGCAGAGCATGTGACTCCTTATCTCAGAATTGTGGGTTTGAGCCCCATGTTAGATGTAGATATTACTTAAAAATAAAATCTTTTTCAAAAAAAATTACAGATGCCTGAAGTAAACAAAGTAATTTGGGCCTAACATGCAGGAGCCTGGCTTGGCTGAGGGTGAGACAGCAGGCAGTGTGGCATGATGGAAAGAATACTAGAGTTAAGAAACAAAGGTTCAAGTACCAGTTTGGTATTTTGAGTTGGGTAAGCAAGTTACCTCCCCTCTCCTGTCCTCCATTTGCTCTTTACAAAATGGGGTTATGCACTAGATCCATGCTAAAGTTCCTTTTTAGCTCTAAGACTCAGCGATTCCATGGTAGGGTGAAAAATCAAGAGGATGGCTGGTAAGATCAAAGTGGATATAAAAATATGAGCCAGAGGGGTAAAACAAGAACTGAGAATTTGACTGAGAAGGGAAAACTATGAGTTAATATGATAAAGGTTTCAAACAACAAGTCAAATATTACCCATAAGGGTGCAGGCCAGGAAGATGAGCTGGGTTGAATGCCTAGGAAAAGACTAGATTGGGAAAATTCTAAAGAGCCAAGAGCTTAGCTTATCTTTGGATCTGTAGTATCAGCCACAAAACCTTGTTCCAGGCACTAGGGAGCTGAAAGCTTCTGGTGAGCTGAGACAGAGTGCAGAACTCCCAAATCAACCTTTTTTCCCCCAAAATCAACCGTTCCCCCCCCCAAAATCAAACTTAAAGCTAGATTCTTCAGGTATACTGTGTAGCTACACACTACCCCCAGCAGAAGCTAAGAGCTCAGACTCTGAGGATAGGATGCCAAATCATGGTTTCATGACTTACTAGCCTTGGGACTTTGGGCAAGTGACCTAATGTCACCATACTTCGGTGTCTCCATCCTTAAAACGGGCATAAAACCAGAACTTACTTCACAGGGATATTGTAAAGATTAAATGAGGCAATATATGGAAAACCCTCTGAACAAGGTCTGGCATCCGGTCAATACTAAGTAAGTGTCAGCTTATTTATTTTCTGCTACAGAGTGGGAGGATGACGTGAGTCACTACAGAGTCACTTCATTTTTCGCATCAAGAGGATTCAGAAGCAGGGTTTCCTATCCAAGGCTGGAACTGAGAAAAAGAACCTTACTTCTGTTGCCTTTAGTTCCCCAGGTGGAGTCAAAAGGAAAAAGTACCAGAGGTCAGGAGGAAAACTAGTACCATTGGTGGGGGTGCCTCGGGTACATCAGCACTGCATTGCCCTCCATCATTCTCAAAAGGCCACTGCAAAAAGTGTCAGATGACCAGGAGGTGGGGGGGATGGACAGACGGACAGATGACAGGTTACACAGACAGGCCAGCCTGTAGGAAATAATATGCTTGGGGGCCTTCCTTCAGGGTGCTGGATCTGTCATGACATTCTCTCTACATTTATTTCAAAGTTATCACTAAGCAATCTTGAATAAAAGGCAGTTGTTTTTTGGTACCAAGACATTAGGAAAAATAACTTTATTTTTTTCCTTTTCTAGCCCTCTTGCAGGCCCAGTTCCTATTTCTTGTACCTAATTCTCCCCAATATGTTTCTATTTACTCCTTATAATATTATGCATTCCTTAGTTTCCTTCCAAATGATATGCAAAATACTATTAGTTTTACGTGGCCACAGCTTCCCAGAATGATCACACGCAGGAAAATATGGTGCATCAATATCCACATTTACAAGTAAAAGCAGCACTTTTAATAGAGTCAACAACATTAGAGCTAAAACCACACCCTTCCAATGCTTTCTCTTTACAACTGAGCTCCAAGGAGTCATTTTATTTCCATCTGCAAGGCAAAATATTCATTTGGAGTAGACCCAACAGTTAGGCTTGCTGATGAGACGCTAAGGTTTCTTGAATTATTAGACTCTGATTTAGAGAATAAGGAATCATGGTCCAACAACACTCACTTCTTAATTCAACAGCCTGTGGAAATTTCCCTTATAGGATGGGGAGAAAAGAAAGTAACTACCATCAGCTTGGTGCTAAACACTGCTGACTTCATCTCTGTGTGCCAAAGAGCAGAAGATACCTTGAGGGAGGCAGTGAGAGGAAGACTGGAAAGGAGGCTGATGCATGTGAGAAAGCACCATAGGCTGGCCTGACAAGTTTCTCTGGATCTTTCCCTCACGTGCTCTGGACCTTCCTGATAAGGGTGTTGGAAACATCTTTTTTTTAAGCTTTGTTGATGCCTTTTTTTTTTTTTTGGATGACATTTGAAAAACAACCCTAATTTATACCTGGAATTAAAAACTTTCTATATATGAGCTAATTAAGGAAAAAAAAAACCTCATGAGGCTTTTTGTCTTATAATGTTCCTTCCCTCTGATTTTAGTATAATTTTGGATATCTTTCCATAATTTCCTCCCTCGAGTATACAAAAATAGCTTTCAAGGAAGACTCAATCCAAGTGATTTTTATGACTGACTAGATCTTGGCTTAAAGAGTGGCATTATAGGGGGATCCCTGGGTGGCTCAGCGGTTTAGCGCCTGCCATCAGCCATCAGCCCAGGGTGTGATCCTGGAGTCCTGGGATCAAGTCCCACATCAGGCTCCCTGCGTGGAGCCTGCTTCTCCCTCTGCCTGTGTCTCTGACTCTCTCTCTCTCAGGCTCCCTGCGTGGGGCCTGCTTCTCCCTCTGCCTGTGTCTCTGCCTCTCTCTCTCTCTCTCCGTGTGTCTCTTATGAAAAAATAAATAAAATCTTTAAAAAAATAAATAAAACAAAGAGTGGCATTATAAAGCGTAACTTCCAATAGGAAATTTTGCTGGAAACAACACTGAAGAGGAAACATACTTCCTAAGCCTAAAGGTTTCAGAACACAGTTACACAAAAAGTTCTGAAATCCATCTGTGAAATTAATCTACATATTCCTTCATATAGGCAATAAGATTAACACAAACAAAATAATAAAATCCGCCCTTCTTTCTCAAAAAGTAAATTTCAAGTCTTATGCTATTCTCAAAAGGAAAGTCCTCAAATGGTGTGTCAGACTAGAAATTCCTGTGCTGCCACTGATGGCACCATTACTAAGTAAAAGTGCCTCTTAAGTCCAATTGATTGGCCAAAATGAACACTTCAGAGTGTTAAATAAGCACACTGTGAAACAGAGAGAAAAGACTAAACTAAAAGACCATGACAAACTGGGACAAAAATCTAGTCCAACAGGCAAGGACTACTAGAGGACCTGGTTAAAAGTAAACTGGACTCAGACGCTTTCAGTAAATCAAGAGCTATTTATTAAAATGTCTATTACGGGGGATCCCTGGGTGGCGCAATGGTTTGGCGCCTGCCTTTGGCCCAGGGCGCGATCCTGGAGACCCGGGATCGAATCCCACGTCGGGCTCCCGGTGCATGGAGCCTGCTTCTCCCTCTGCCTGTGTCTCTGCCTCTTTCTCTCTCTCTGTGACTATCATAAATAAATAAAAATTTAAAAAAAATGTCTATTACGGAGGAGAGGGTACACAGGGGAGAAAAGGATGATTAAGACAGGTTCAGATCCTTCCTATAAACAAAACACTCCTATCACATGTGCTTTGGAATCAGGGGGTTTGAATATGGCTCCCCCAGAAGTGTTTTTCTGGCAAGTTTCTTCATCTCTCTGAGCCTTAGTTTCTCAATCTGCAAAACAGGGATAATAAAACCCATCCCACAGAGTTTTGGTGGGGACTGAATTAAATGAGACAAGATAGGGAAAGTGTCTTTCATTAGATGTCAATACATGATATTCCTTTCCCATTGTATACTGTCAAGAAAGCTGTATCTCATAAGTAGTAAAATGCAGCATTCTACCTGGAAAGAGTCTGTCTTCATCACCCCCATGCAGAGGAACTCCCTTATTTTCTGGCATATACTTCTTGGTAATGGGCAAGGACATCAGCCGGATGTGATGGATGAGTGAGCGCCAGGTGCGAGCTCCAGAAAGCACCGGTTCAGGTGGTAATGGGCTGAAAGGTTGAATCACAAAGTAGGCAGTGAGCAAGATTAATCCCAGGGTTACAAGGACCTATAAGGAAAGACAGGAAAAGGATTAATGATTGTCCCCAGAAACAAAATACTTTAATACCAAGGAAAAAACCGACCTCTTCTATTATTTCCAATGTGCCTTAGGAACTAATCCATTTTCATAAACAAGCCATTTACATTCACTTGTGAATACATTTAAAGTTTGAGAACTATGAGGATTGCAAGGCTCCCCAAGCTTCTATCATATGACCTGGGGCTATGTCCACCATTAAAAACTACGCACAAATACAGTCTAACTATACATAGCTTTCATCTAGGATATTTAACAAAATAGTCAAGTTTCCTAGAAACACATGGTAACAAAGGCCAATTTATTCCCAGAACAATGAAGGTTCAGTGATGGAATAGCCAACAGCAGTTTTGGGAGAGAAAGTTGAAGAGTTTGTGCTCTGTAAGGTATCTCCACGTCAGAACACATTTTTACCTTATACATGGCTATCAGGAGAGGATACTGGGGCGGCCCCCTCTGAGGTTCATTCTTTTCCAGCAGCTGTCGGATAAATTTTTCAATTGCTTTCTCTGACATGCCACACTGATGGCCTGTTTGTCTCACCAGATCAACAGTCTCTGAAAGTTTGTCGTAAATGCTGAGCTCATTGGCAGCAAGATCCATGTCTTCCAATACAAAATCCCTGAGAGAAAGAAAATAAAATGTAAAAAGGAGGATGGTTTATTTCAAGTACTTCCTCCTCAAAGCTCCTTCCTTTAGAAAGGTGCTCCCTGACTACCTACGGGGCAGGACCAGCTTTGTTTTTACCAACCCACTGCAGGCCAATGCTGTTTTGCTGCTTTTTTTTTCTTTTTTAATATTTTATTTATTTATGAGACACACAGAGAGAAAGAGAGGCAGAGACACAGGCAGAGGGAGAAACAGGCTCCATGCAGGGAGCCCAACGTGGGACTAGATGCCTGGTCCCCAGGATCACGCCCCAGGGTGAAGGTGGCGCTAAACCTTTGAGCCACCCGGGCTGCCCCAGGCCAATGCTTTTGTAAAGCAAATCTGCGTCTAGACAATGTCAAGTTAGTGCTGCACTGCTTTTAAGCATTTCTTAATTGTGAGCTAGTAACAGTTTTACGGACCAGCACCAGTTGCCACACACTTTGAGGAGTACTAACTAGTCTAGAGCACAATAAATCCCTAATAGCATTCTGAAACATTAGTGCCGTCCAAAATGATTGCTGAAACCAATCACAAGAGGTCCGCTACTGGTAATTTACTTGAATAAAAAGAAACGCAATATGGAGTGTTGTTGATTTTATTTCTTGGGCATTTACATAAGATATGCCTTTTAGCAACATAGAGGGAGGAACTAATCACTGAAAGTGAGATTTACTGTGGGGAACATGCTGATATGCTTTGTTACTGGCAGAGCAAGAATTCCAGGCAACACAAAAACCATGGCTCTGGGACTCTTCAGACCTTGCAGGTTGCAGTCCTCTTGTTTTTTTTGCAAATAGGATTTTAGACAATAAAGAGCCTTTTATTTGTATTTCTATATACTTAAAAGACCTAAGATCTTTCATTTCAAAATTCAACTTCTCATAGTTACTTCAGAGCAAAATTGTTTCACAGTGGCTATTGAGAATAAAAGGTAAAAATCAAAGTGGCTAAGTAGAATACTCACTTGTAACATCTGTAAAATTCAATTACAGTTCTTTTAAAAAAAGTGTTTGTTACAAAACAGTATTTTCCTTCATTTACAGAAGGAAAAATAGTACTTGGGATTTATGCTCTCTTCTATTGGTCTTTTTCTCTCTTAAATGTAAAGGTCCTTTTATCTCACATACTTCAATCCCAAAGTACTTCTAACCCCAAACAGCACTGACATGGTACAATTCTATTTTTTTAGTAAGGAGATGCTGCCCCCTGTAGAGCAGAGGACAACAGTCTTTGGAGCTCAGTGGAGAAAAGCAGGCCCTCAGTGCCACCAACCAGCAAGCCCTCAGCCTATCTCCCCCTCTGGCAGCGCCTCCTGGACTGTTTGGTTCTCTTTAGGACTATTAAATCTTTAGTTCACTAGTTTTCATTAGAATCACCTGGAGAGTTTTTAATGAACGCTCATACCAGGGCCTCAACCCAAACCAATTAAATCAGAATCAGACTTCTAATGGTGAATTAACAGGCAGGAATAACAACTTTGGGGAATTGGTTTGGGAGGGGAGAACACCCCACACCCAAAGAGGCTAAATCCCTTCTCCAAAGTCTTTGCTCTTGCTCAGAGTGTATGGTTTTTGTTTGTTTTTTTTAAGATTTCATTCATTGATTCATGAAACACACACAGAGAGAGGCAGAGACACAGTCAGAGGGAGAAGCAGGCTCCATGCAGGGAGCCCGACGTGGGCTATCCTGGGTCTCCAGGATCACACCCTGAGCCGAAGGCAGCGCTAAACCGCCAAGCCACCTGGGCTGCCCTGGTGTGTTTTTTATATTTTTTATAGGCTTTCATTTCAAGGTTCGGATAAAAGGATGGTATAAACTCTTCAAATGGTGCTGAGACAACTAGTTATCTACATGCAAAAGAATGTGAAGTAGGACCCTTTCTTCTACCATACACAAAAAGTAACTCAAAATGGATCAAAGACATAAACTTAACTGAAACTATAAACTCTTAGAAGAAAACATAGGGGAAAACTTTCATGACATTGGATTAGGCAATGGTTTCTTAAGGCACCAAAAGCATAAGCAGCAAAAAAAAAAATTACATTATATTTAATTACATTAAATTAAAATTTAACAATTTTTGTACTGCAAATGATACCATTTAGGAAAGTGAAATGACAACCCAAAGAATGGGAGAACATATTTGCAAACCATATACCTGATAAGAGACTGGTATTCAAAGTACAAAAAGAATTATTACAACTCAATAATAGAAAGATGACCCAATTTTAAAATGGGCAAAGGATGTGAATAGACATTTCTCCAAAGAAGATACACAAATGGCCAATAAATTCATGAAATGATGTTCAAAATCATTAGCCATCAGGGAAATACAAATCAAAACCACAGAGACACCACTTCACAACCACTGGGATGGCTATAATAAAAAAGTCAGATAATAAATTGGCAAAGATGTTGAGCACGCGGAACCCTTGTACGCTGCTGGTGGGAATATGATATGGTACAGCTACTTTGGAAAACAGTTTGACAGTTTCTCAAAAATTTAAACACAGTTATCATATGATCCAGTAATTCCACTTGTATGAACCCAAGAGAACTTAAAACATATTTCCACATAAAAACTTGTACAACAAAAAAAACTTGTACAAGAATTCATATCCAAGCAGCATTATTCATAATAGCTCAAAAATAAAAGCAATCTAAATATCCATGAACTACTAAATGGATGGATAAAATGTGGTATATCCATACAATGAAATACTATTAGACAATAAAAATGAATAAAGTATGGGGATCCCTGGGTGGCTCAGTGGTTTAGCACCTGCCTTCGGCCCGGGGCGTGTTCCTGGGGTCCCGGGATGGAGTCTCACATCGGCCTCCCTGCGTGGAGCCTGCTTCTCCCTCTGGCTGTGTCTCTGCCTCTCTCTCTCTCACACATGAATGAATAAATAAAATCTTAAAAAAAAAATGAATGAAGTATTGATATATGCTACAACATAGGTGAACCTTGAAAATACTATGCTAAGTGGAAGAAGACAGTCACAAAAGATCACATAATGCTACATCAATAAAATGCAAAAAAGTCAAGAACAGAGGCGATCTATAGAGACAGGAAGTAATAAGTGGTTATCCAGGGGAGAGACAGGAGAAGAATGGGGAGTGTTAGTAAATACAGGGTCTCTTTCTGGAGTGAGAAAAATGTTCTAAACTTAAATAGTGGTGATAGGGGCATCCCAGGTGGCTCAGCAGTTTAGCGCTGCCTTTAGCCCAGGGTGTGATCCTGGAGACCCGGGATCGAGTCCCACGTCGGGCTCCCTGCATGGAGCCTGCTTCTCCCTCTGCCTGTCTCTCTGTGTCTCTCATGAATGAATAAATAAAATCTTTAAATAAATAAATAAATAAATAAATAAATAAATAAATAAATAAATAAATAAATAAATAAATAGTGGTGGTAGTTGCACAACTTTGTGAGTATACTAAAAATATACTAAAAATGTACACTGAATTATACATTTCAAATGGGGAATTTTATGGCATATAAAGCTCCATAAAGACATTTAAAAAATGTGTATTTCTAGAATTTGAACCTAAGATTGTTGTGGTATTTATTACACTACACTGCTATGATCTAAGTCACTTGGTCTATATTCTCATCTAAAAAATAAAAGGACTAAACTAAGGTTTTCAAAGTCTCCTCTGGCTCTAAAATTTTAAGAGTAAATGAAGACTTCAGGAAGTAGAAAAAATTCAATTCATTAGAAACTAAAGACTAGTGCTGAACTGCATTCCTATGTTACCACTTCCTGTTATGCCATCCTATATACCAGGCACAGTGAAACATCTTAATAAATTATCACATCAATCCCAGAAGGTAGGTGTGATTTTTTTTATACGTTTTTAATTTTAATTCCAGTATAGTTAACATACAGTGTTCTATCAGTTTAAGGTGTACAATATGATTCAACAATTGTATACATTACCCAGTGCTCATCATAGTTAAGTGCACTTTTAATCTCCTTCATCTTTTTACCCCACCCCCCCCCACCAACCTCCCCTCTGGCATGCCTCAGTTTGTTCTCTATAGTTAAGAGTCTGATTTTTGTTTTGCTTTGCCAAAAGGTAGGTGTGATTAATCCCATTTCACAGATATTGAAACTAAGACTCAGAAAGGTTCCATAACTTGCTGGGATGTGAAGTCAGGTGTGCCTGACTTCAGGGCTGATGCTTTTAATCTTTATGTATGCTGCCTCCCTTACCAAGTATTTTCCTATTCTGAGCTGGTAGTGCAGAAACCACACCGTGTCGCTCGATTATCAAAACTGAGTGCTTGAGAACTGGAAAAGTGACAACTACAATGATTCCTGGAAAAAGAATAAAGCAGCAACTTATTACAATATTTTCCATATCATGATTTTGTGACTAGTGATTCTAGAGACAGCATTTTTCTGTTGAAATTAACAAGGACATTCTAGGCAAGCAAGCAAAGATAATGTTCAAACAAACTACAATTAACTACCCAACAATATCCAGTCAAAATCCATTAAAATTCAGTAAAAAAAAAAAAAAAAAGCAGAAAAAAGAACAGTGAGAATTCTAGAAAAAATTTCAGTAAAAAAATTTAAAATGTTGGAAGGTGGAGCAAATGTAGGTATCCCTCAGGCAGAAAAAAACATCATATTAGTGTGCCTTTAGGAGAACCGTGAAGGGAACAAAAGTGTAAGCGAGGAGAGCCAACTACCATCTTTTCTGATGACTATTTCACAACTTTCATAAATCTCCGCCTAATTTTAATATACATAAACATCTCACTAGACTCTGTATTGCAAAAACAATGGGATTTTTTTTTTGTAATTCAACCATACAATGGCATTACGATACTGAATATATTTTTGCAAGCTGTACATCCTTCTTCCTTGACATTCTGACATATTTCCCAAGTTACTGGAAGGGGCATTACTAATAATTTCATAAAGTTTTTAAGAGCACATGGGGATCTTCATAAGAAGCCCTTCTTTCGACTTTGGTTAGACCAGTGGTCCTCAACGGGGGTGATTCTGGACAGACGACATTTGGAAAGTCTGGAGACATTTTTGATGTTCACATTTGAAGGGTACTGGCATCTAGTAGATATGATGTTAATTAAATACACACAAATAATGTTTCTTTGGGTTGGAATTTCATACTAGCAAAGCAGCTCCCTTGCTGTAATCTGAAAGTCGGCCCTCAACACAATGATTTATATTAAAAAAAAAAAAAAAAGTCAAACACCAACTCATGACTAAGAAACAAGTATCAGGGGACTGACTGTAATCAGTTGAGCCTTGACAGCAATCCCTTTACCTCCAGAAAGAAAGAAGATCCAACTCTGGCAGGAATGAACTTTGCCACAGAGGGAAGTTCCAAAGAGTGAGCTTGACTCCCAACAGTGGCTTACACCTGCAAGGGCACAGGCAGGGTCACTAGCAGAATTATGACAATCAAGGTATCATGCACTACCCTAGACATAATGAATTGCCAGAACCTCTGAGAGTGGGACCCAGGTGCAGAAGTATTCAAAGCTCTTCCCTGTTGATTAAAGGCACACCCTCAATTAGGAGACACTGCTTTAGAACAGCAGTTCTCAACTAGGGGTGATTTTACTCTCCGGGGGACATCTGGCAAAGTCTGAAGATATTTTAGATTGTCAAAACTGGAGGGGCACCCCTGGCATCTAGGTGGTAAAGACTAAACATCCTACAGAGACAGGCCCCCATAACAAAGAACTGTCCCACTCAAACTGGTTAAGAGTGCTAAGGTTAAGAAATCTTGCTTTCAAGGGAGGCCAGGGTGGAGATGAGGAGGGAGGTAAACTAGGAGGCTGTTCACTTCAGAAGGAGCATCTAAGGAATAGAAGGAAGCCACTGACAGCTCTAATGAGATGTTCTCCACAATTCCTTCTGGGTCTCAGTCTAGAAAAAAACAGGACAGAGGCACAGCTGGTAGAATGACTCTGACAGAACTTACCAATAAAAATGATTTAAAGCAGAAAACAGATTAAGAGGTCAGACTAAATATAAACTTCTGCTTTGTCCTGTTTAATACAGAATTCCTTTATAGTTATAAATACATCCTAAACACTGATTTGACATCACCCAGGAGGTTCTTAGTTTTCCAAACTAAACAGCTGTGCCAACTACACAACTCTGAGACGCAATATTGATGTATCTAGCTAAAACATGAAAGGAGAAATGCTATAATTCAAAAAGAAAGTTTCAAAAGTCCATCTAAATAAGTCCTAATCAGGGGCGCCTGGGTGGCTCAGTTGGTTAAGCATCTACCTTCAGCTCAGGTCATGATCCTGGGGTCCTGGGATCGAGCCCTGCATCAGGTTCTCTGCTCCCTCTGCCCTACCCTTCCACTCCCCTCTGCTCGCTTTCTCTCTCTCAAATAAATAAAATCTTTAGAAAATATAAATATGTCCTAATATTCAATAGTGGGGGCAATATCCAGAGTAATATTAAATTTTCTTTTCTGGTACTAGGTTCTTTAGTACTACGCTAGCTATGCAGTTTGATAATCCATTCCTCAGTTTTAGGAACAAATTCCATTCTATTTTATCCATTGATTCCCATCAATTGAAGATGTTCTACTAAAAGGAAAAACAGGAGGCCTTTGGATTGTGATAAAAATCACTAAGAAAAAATAAACATCATATTAAAAGGAAAAATAGCTGATGAACATTAAAACAACAGGACTTAAAAGAGTAGGGATATAAAAATGTAGAAAGTGCTTAAAATGTACAACTGAGGGAAATATTTTTTGTAGTTTTATCATCACTTGACTCTTTCTGGACATCTCTGTCCAGTGAAACTTAGTGAGTCATACTTTCTTCACTCGCTGAAAATATGCCTCTTCCACTTTTTCCAATTGCTTACTTTGAAAAATTTCAAGACTCCAGAAAAGCTGAAATGGTAAAATAAACACTTGTATATCCTTTACTTATTAGATTTGTTGATTGTTAACATATGACCACATTTGTTTTATCTGTCACTTCTCTTTCTGCTTTTGCCAAAACCACTTAAAAGTTAGTTGCAACACATCATGGAATCACTTCTAAATATTTCAGCATGCATCTCCTCAGAATAAGGACACTGTTGTACTTAATCATAAGCATAATTATCATACCTATTAAGACAACTCTCTAACATTACCTAATACCCACTCCACAGTCAAATTTCTGTTAAAAAAAAAAAAAGCCATATAGTTTTTTAGAAACCCAGGATCCAATCAATAGTCATCCAATCACAATTAGCTATCATGTCTCTATGGTCTATTTAAATCTAAAACAGATCCTGGGTTTGTTTGTTGTTTTGCCCTTTATGATATGAACATATCTGAAGCAGTAACCCCCACATTTTAAAACTTTTTTCTACCTGGTCCTATCCACACCTTTTCCAGTTTCTACCATTAAAACAATGACGACAACCCCTTCCTTCAGAGCCAACCTCCTTTACAAAAAAAATTAAAAAGACGTAACTTCACCTTCTTCTTTCTCGGGTCTCCATTTGTTTATTAACCTCTTGAAATCATATTTTTGCCCCCCTCACACCACTGATACTGCTCTCACTCAGGTCACCAGTGGTTTTCTACATGCCAAGTCCAAAGGATGTTTTCTCAACTATCACCTTACCTGACCTCTCTGCAGAAGCTGCTATTGCTATCTATGCTCTCCCTCAAGTGCTCTCAAACTCTGGCATAATTCTTTCTCTTTTCTGAAAGACTATACCCCTGAATGCTGGTATTCACTACAGTTGTCCTTGATCCTCTCATTTCCTCCATAACTTTTTTTTTTAAGATTTTATTTATTCATGAGAGACACAGAAAGAGAGGCAGAGCCATAGGCAGAGGGAGAGACCGGCTCCCCACAAAGAGCCCAACACAGGACTCAATCCCAGGACCCTGGGATTGTGACCTGAGCCAAAGGGAGATGCTCAAATACTGAGACACCCAGGTTTCCCATCATTCCCTCCATGGCTTTGACCACCACCTATTAGTGATTCCCAAATCTCTTCTCCAGTCTTAAACTCTCCAGAACTCCAGACCCATCCATCTATCTACCAGACACACTGGCCGAAATTTCCTGCTGTACCCCTCTATGTAACGTGTCCATAACTGACTTCTTATTGTCCCCCTGTAACTCATTTTTCCTACTATATTGTTTTGGAATTTATATCTGTTTTGGAACAGAAATGCTAGTTCTCCAAATTTAAAACCCTCTTCCTTCTTCCTCACCACCAATGAACTGATCACTAAATCCTCAATTCCACCTCCTGTATGGTTCCCACATTCATCATCTCCTCTTTAGTCCTACATTAATGGCAGTGAAGGCCCTCAACATTCTCTCCATGGACCATCACAAAGATATACTTAATCTCTATACTATCCTCCTCTCCAATCCATCCTCTACTCTCCACAAATTGCTTTTCTGAAACACAAACTGGTTCATGTTACTTGTCTGTTTAAAGCAACTTCCCTGAGGGCGCCTGGGTGGCAGAGCTGGTTAAGCGTCTGACTTTTGATTTTGGCTTAGGTCAGGACCTCAGGTTTGTAAGATCAAGATCCAGATCAAGACCCAGCATAAAAAAAAAAAAAAAAAAAAAGACCCAGCATAGAGTCTGTTTAAAATTCTCTCCAGGGACGCCTGAGCCTGAGTACCTCAGGGGTTGAGCCTCTGTCTGCAGGGGGGGGAATAGGTGATGGGATCCCAGGTCCAGGAATCAAGTCCCCATCTGACTCCCTGCAAGGGGCCTGCTTCTCCCTCTATGTCTCTGTGTCTCTCACGAATAAATTAATGAAATCTTAAAAAAAAAAAATCCTCTCTCTTCCTCTCTAAAAAATAAATAAAGCAACTCCCTTGAATCCCCATGCCCTGCTGCAGAACAATTTAGCACCATGGGTTAAGCAACCAATGGAGTTGGGAAAAGCTAGATAATTCCTTGATCTTCCATCTACTCTGTAGCCATGAGACACTCCTTAATCTAACCTCAGAGTTTTCATTATTTTATGAAACGAGGATAACTCTGTTTCCAACACTGTCATTAATGGATTACAAGATGATAAATGTAAAACATTTGTCCCGATACCCAAATTTAATATTTAATACTATAAGATGAAGTCCAAATTACTTAGCATGGCCCTTTCCAACCTGGTCACTGATTACCTGTTCAGTCTCATTTCCCATTCCTTCCACACACATTTCACTGCCATATCATTACACATCTTTTTGCTTTTGCACAAATAATTTCCTCTGCCTAAAAAGTCTAGCTCCCGTGCTTTTCCAATGAATGAACTCCTTTATTTCAGCCGTGATGTTTGTCCTTGGAACCTTAAACACAACCCTTATCATTCTGTATTATACCTATTTTCATGTCTCCTCACACTAAATTGTTTCTTGTGTTAAAAAGAAAATCAAAGGCCCAAAATGGTGTCCCTTAGCTTCAGTTAACCAAGACTTACCACCTAACCTAACTGCACTTTCAAAATCCCCTAAAACTTTAACCAATCAACATGGAATTTCTGGTCAGCTCTAGAGAATTTACTGATAGAACTCCTCCCATTCAGAGTGACATTGCCTTTAAAAAAAAAGGGGGGGGGTCTTTATTCTACACTCTTATTTTTTTTAAAGATTTTATTTGTTTTTAGAGAGAGAGAGAGAGAATGGGGGGGCAAAGGGAGAATCTCAACTGAGCACCTCCCACCCCCCACCCCCCCAACTAGGGCTCCATCTCACAACCAAGATCATGATCTAAGCTGGAATCAAGAGTTGGATGCTTAACCAATTGAGGTACTCAGGCACCCCTCCACTTTTTTTTTTTTAAAGATTTTATTTATTTAAGACAGAGAAAGAGATAGCAAGAATAGGGGGGAGAGGGAGAAACAGGCTCCCCTGACATGAGGCTCAACCCCAGGACCCCAGGATAATAACTGTAGCTCAAGGCAGACACTTAACTAACTGAGCCACCCAAACACCCCCCACCAACCTTTTAAAGATTGTATTCTTTGAGAGAGACAGAGATAGCGATGGAGACCCTCTCTACTTTTAAAAACCTTTCCTTTCCTGTAGCCCTAGGAGCTCCCCTCTACTTGCTAGATGGAAAGCTGCCGGATTCATGAATTGAATAAAGCCAACTGTATCTTTAAAACTTACTCACTTGAATTTTTGTTATTTAACACGTGAAAGCAAGAGATAAATGGAATACATAACAACAGAAAAAACTAAGAACAGACATGGAATTCACCTCAGGGACAGGAAACCTAATCAATGTCTACTAAACAAATTCATAGGAAGGCTCCAAAGCGATCATTCATTCCCAAACTATTCATTTTACCTCTTATTGTTCTTATTCTTAAAAATACATCAGCCTAAGGAGGCTTTAGATGAAACCTAAATGGAAGGTTTAGGAACCTCCCATTTAGACACTCTCTATGCTGTTCTAGGGCAGCTGTAAGAGGAACAGGGATTCAAACCGGGTCTTGAAAACTGTTTTGGGGGATCACTGGGTGGCTCAGTGGTTTGGCGCCTGCCTTCAGCCCAGGGTGTGATCCTGGAGTCCGGGGGTTGACTCCCACGTCGGGCTCCCTGCATGGAGCCTGCTTGTCCCTCTGCCTGTGTCTCTGCCCCTCTCTCTGCCTCTCATAAATAAATAAATAAATGAAATCTTTAAAGAAAAAAAAAAAAACAAAACTGTTTTGGTCAAAAGCAGAAAGGGCCTGACAGGGCAACAAAGGTATGCAAGCTGGCCTATGTGAACTGCAGTCAAAACTTCGATGTAGAAAAATTGTATGTGGGTTGTTCTTTGCAGAGAAATTGTGATAAACTCAAATGCACAATTTTATTAAGGGACAAATGCTCATAGAGGATTCCACCAAGGGAACAACCAAATGAGCAACCTTATTAAAAAGTGGGAGTAATATGTATCTGGAAGTAGTTTCTATGACAAAGTGATGACGGACTAACGTACTCGCAAATACCAAGGCTACGCAGGCTCTTAAGCAGGAGGTGTGCCAGCAGGGTTAATGATCTTAAAACACTATGGAACACAAGACAGGCGATTTTTCTGTACTAAAAGGTGATAACGAACAGCTCAACCGGTCAAACCAACTTTCTGGAATTCTAGATGCTACGCTCTTATGTACCAAGTCCACACCTAAACTTTTTCCTCAAAAAATAAAATAAAAAACAAAAAATAAATTTCCTCAATAGGAAAAGATATTGGGGGGGGGCGGGGAATCTATTCTCAGTATACCAGAAAAATTAGAGATCCGTCAGCAAGGCAGGGACACCGAGACTTGGCTGGCGCCAGTCGTGTTTCGGACACCGCTGTGACCGGCCCCGCCGAGCCAAGGAAAGCAAAGTCGTCTCGAGGGAGCCGACCCTGGCGGGGGGGCTGGGGAGGAGTCGCCGGGGGGCCGTCAGTCTGCGAAACACCAGCGGCTCAGAAACGGGGCTTGCGCAGGGGCAAGCGGCTGCGCGAGGATGTCACAGACGGGCGCGGCGGTGAGGCTGTCACACGGCGGCCGCCCCCCTCCCGGCCTCGGGCCCCAGTCACTCACATGCGGGGCCCGCGCCCCCTCGGGCTCCTCCCGCCTCGGGGACTGCAGCCGCCGGGCGAGGAGGGTAAACCGACTTCCTGCTTCCGGGGGCGTAACCCGGAAGTAGCTCCCGCGCCACAGCCGAGGCCGCACGCCCTCGGGTAGGTCTTTCTTCGTGCCCCGCGCTGCCGTCAGCAGCAGAACCCGCGACGGCTGCCGGGCGAACTCCCGCGAGACCTGGAGGGCACGAGTTCTGGCTCCCCCTGGCGTCAGACTCTTCTGGCGGGGCGGGTCAGTCCCTGCCCGGCAGGGTCTGTCCTCTTCGCGTTGTGCGACGGGCGTCGCAGCCGCGCGGATGCGCTCAACAAGCTTGTGCTGCGCCCCGCACTACCTGCCGGGCCCGAAGATAGGCATCAAGGGGTGGGCGCGGGAGGGACGGGTAGTGGAGGGCAGGCCCTTAAAGCCTCTGGAAGCTCTTAGTCTAACGGCAGCAAACTCAAAAGAACACACCGCCTACTCGTGAGTATTTATTGAGGCTTACTCTGTGCCAGATATCACCAAGCCCTTCATATTCGTGAAACCAATTCAACAACCTTGTATACATAGTCCCTGTAGGGCCGAGGGCAGACCACCCCAAGATGGGGCACTTTAGCATGGGGATTATTTTGAACTAAAAGCAATCCAAACCCAGCAGTTGTAGGAAAACCTCTACCTCCCCTTCAACTGCCTGCCTGTACCAGCAAGAGAGCTATTAACACAGATTCCTGTTTACCTAAGAAATTTACAGGGCCACCTTTGCTTTCCAAACATCTCTCACCTTCTGCTAACAGAAGGGGGCCTTTCTCTTCTTTGTATGCCCAGACCCTGCCCCTCTGCTAGCTCAGGTTGTCTCAGATAAGCCTCCTGTTGGCTGTCTTTGGAATTGTGAGTGTGTGTGTGTGTGTGTGTTCCCTGTATGTATGAACCTAAATTTGATTTTCTCCTATTAATCTGTCGCAGGTCAATTTGATGCTTTGTCCAGCTGGAAGAATCTTGAAAGTGCCGAGGAAATTCTTCCTTCATACCCCACAACATTTATCTCATACCAGCCAAACAGGTTTATGGAAAGGTTAACTTGCTCAGGATTACACAAAGAGTGGTGGGGTCATGATTTGAACCCAGGCTCCTTATTTTGCCCTGTCTTTAGTGCCATGATCATAACTGCTTTTTACTAGAGATCAGCCATCAAAATGCTATGGGGTTTAGACCAACAAAGCTAACTACAAAGGCAGTGTGATACTGATGCAGGGATAAGCAAACTAATTAAGCAGAACAGAGAGACCAAAATGAGAACCACACATATATAGACACTTGCTTTATGACAAAGAGGTGCAACAGAGGAGTGAGGAAAGGATAATACTTTCAATAAATAGTTCTGATAAATAAAGGGTTTTGGGTCAGTTGTATATCCTTATAGGAAAAAATGAAACTTGACTCCAACTTCACACCATATACCAAAATAAATTCTATGTGCATTATAGCTCTACATGAGAAAAATAAAGTAATACAACTTTAGAGCAGCTCTTGTCCAATGCCATTGCCATGCAAGTGATTACTAAATACCTAAATGTGGCTAGTCAGAATTGAGACATTCTGTAAAAGATAAGATTGATACAGTGAACCACATTAAAATTAGCTACCACCTCTGATCACTAAAAGACACAATTAAGAGAACCAAGAAGACAACCAGACAACCTACAGATTGAGAGAAACCAACAAAGAGCTTGTGTCCAGGATACATAAAGAACTCTACCAATAAGAAAAAGACGGACTAAACAGCCAAATAGAAGAATGGGCAGAGGATTTGAACACAAAGATAATACCACAAAAGAGCATACCTAAATGGCAAACACATGTAAAAGAGTGTTCAACTTCACTAATGATTAGTTGTTTGGGAAAGGACTACTGAGATCTTATACAGGTTCCAAAATTGCTTCAATGGAAAAGACTAGTGACACTAAGTAAGTGTGGACGAGGAAGTGGAGTAACAGCAACTCACACAGAGCTGGTAGGAAATGTAAACTGCTATAGCCATTTAGGAAAAACAGTCTGGTTAACTATGAAATTATAATATACATATAACCTAATCTCATACCAGGCCTAGCAATTCTACTTCTACGAATATACTCCAAAAAATTCACATACAAGTGCACCGAGATACAAAATATTCATAGCAGCACTATTTGTCATAGACACAATCTGGAAAAATTCCAAGTGCCCATTAAGAATAGATTGTATAGGGGTGTCTGAGTGGCTCAGTCCATTGACTATCTAACTCTTGATCTCAGCCCAGGTGTTGATCTCAGGATCATGAATTCAGGCCCTGCATTGAGCTCCATGCTGGCATGGAGCCTCCTTTAAAAAGAAAAAAGAAAAGAAAGTCCTTGAGGTATATTCATGCAACAGAATACTACACGGCCACTGAATACAATACCATGGATATACCTTACATACAAACATAATGTTAAGCAAAAGAAGCCAGACGCACAAAAAGTACTATATGATTTCATTTACGTAAATTTCAAAAACAGAAGAACAATTAAGAAGTCATAAAAGTGGTTACTTTTGTGGGGAAAAGGGTCTGATTGGTAGGGAGAACTCTGGAGTTGGAAACATTTTTTTCTTGATTTAATGGTAGTTACACAGGTGGGTTTTTATTTTATAATAATTGAATTGTCATGGGATCTGTCCACCTTTCTGGATATATTCAAAATTTAAATTTTTACTTAAAAAACGGTACTCTGGGGTGCCTGGGTGGCTGAGTTCGTTAAGCATCTGCCTTTGGCTCAGGTCATGATCCCAGGGTCCTGGGATCAAGTCCCACTTTGGGATCTCTACTTAGTGGGGAGTCTGCTTCTCCCTCTACCCCTCCCCGCTGCTTGTGATCTCTCTTGTTCTCTCTCTCTCTCTCTCAAATAAATAACATCTTTAAAAAATAAGACTTGGATGAAATAGCAGGAAATCAGGCTCGAGAAGTCATTGAGCCAATGGTGAACGGCCTTCAAGCCCAGGCCAGGTGTCTGCGACTTTTTTTTTTTTTTTTAAGATTGTATTTATTTATTCATGAGAGACACGGTGGGGGGGGGGGGCAGAGACACAGGCAGAGAGAGAAGCAGGCTCCATGCAGGGAGCCCAATGGGGGACTCCATCCTGGGACTCCAGGGTCATGCCCTGGGCCAAAGGCAAGCTCTAAACCGCTAAGCCACCCAGGGATCCCAGTCTGGGACTTTATTTTTTATTTTTTTTTTTATTTATTTATGATAGGCACACAGTGAGAGAGAGAGAGGCAGAGACACAGGCAGAGGGAGAAGCAGGCTCCATGCACCGAGAGCCCGACGTGGGACTCGATCCCGGGTCTCCAGGATCGCGCCCTGGGCCAAAGGCAGGCGCTAAACCGCTGCGCCACCCAGGGATCCCAGTCTGGGACTTTAATAGGCAAAAGGAAACCATTTAACATTTCTTGGCAAAGAAGTGACATACAACAAGCAACATACTATATCTCTTGAGGAAAGCTTTGGTTGCTATCTGTGCATAGGATGGATTAGTGGGGAAAAGCCAAAGGGCAGGGAACTCCACAAGAGAGCTTCTAAAATAATCCTGGTGTTAAAGGTCTGAAACAGCAGTGGAAATAGGAAGGAAAGGATACAATTTGGGTATCTTGGGGAAAAAAAAGAATTGACAGGTCTTGATGATGTATCACAGGGAGCAGAGAGCAAGAGGATGATCTTCAGTCCCCCAGCCCCAAAAATAAGGTACAATTACATTCAGAAGACACATTAAACTTACAGAATAGATGAAGTAAATACAAACTACTCTGATTAATGTGGACTATTAGTTATAAGTTGAAAAAGAAATCTTTGTCAGTTCCTCCCTGTAGTCACCCAATGTTCTCTCGGGGACAAAAGGCCAACAAACATCGAGTCTCTTGGGGAAGGACTTTGGGATGAGACAGCAAGACACTGACTTTTTCTTGTGTAAAATCCGAATGCATCCTCACTGTGCCCTAAGCCTCCCCAAATATATAGTAAGGAACTACATAAGGTCCAGAGAAAGGCAATTCAAATAACAAAGCATAGAATTGGGACAACTAGGTGGCTCAGTGGTTGAGCATCTGCCTTTGGCTCAGGTTGGCATCCTGGGATCTAGTCCTGCATCGGGCTCCCCACAGGGAGCCTGCTTCTAACCTCTGCCTATGTCTCTGTGTCTCTCATGAATAAATAAAATCTTTAAAAAACAAACACAGAATGGACCAATGATGACCACTTTCCTGACCAGCTCAAGGGTCACAAAGAGGACATGAGCATGAGACTGCAAAAGGTGTAAAATGTATTACACCTTAACTTAGCACAGCACTCGTCAGTGTAAAATGTCACTTTCTGCCCATTTTTCATTCAACAAAACCTGAACACCCTGTTCTCAGTACTCTGAGAGAAGGGCACAGAGATGGAGGAGGAGGCCCAGCTTGCTCACTGTCTAATTTTATCTTCACAACATTGTATACCCTTATCCCTACCTGATAACTAAGGAATCTAGAATTAAGCCATGGTTAGGCACAGAGGCTCACAGCTGTGGTAAGTTACTTAATCTTTGGAAGGTTCAGTCTCCTTAAAGTAAAAAGAGAATACTAATATCTATGTCGTGGGGTTTTGAAGATGAAGCGTTGCCAAAGGTTCAGAAATAGCAGAAGCAAAACCGCTGCATCACCGACATAGCAATTAGTAAAAGTTCATGGGCAAAAAATAGTTTGCAAACTGGAAGCACTCCAACTGAACACGGAATGTTAAATTCAGAGGTATATTGTCACGAAGCAGTTCATATGGTGAGGAGGCAGTGGCTTTTTACTCTTCAAATCGGTTATGATGTTAGTTTTCCTAGTGATAGGGATGGGGTAAAAGTAGTTACTTCGTATCCATCTTGAGAACACTTTTAAGTTTCATTTTTGGTTTTCAGAGGCATTAA